ATCTTTAAGGATCGGAAATATAACATCCCTGATCTAAAATATGATAAACAAGATCAACAAGGAAAGGCGGCGTTCAATGAACGCAACCCCCATATGACCCAGCAAAGCCATTGAAAGCAGTAAGACCAGGAAAAAACATGATTAAAAACGATTGAAAAGCAAAAAGTATCTTTTAAAAAAGTTAATTGGCTTTTACTAGCATTTGTTATGTCGAAGTTAAAAATATGATAAACAAGATCAAGGAAAGGCGGCGTTCAATGAACGCAACCCCCATATGACCCAGCAACAAGAACCAATGGCAAGGAGCCCAGGCGGACCCAAAACAAAAACAGGACAGGGCAAAGACAGAGCACGGACAGGTTAATCATTAAATGATAAATAATTTGTAACTGATTAGGAATTCAAAGAAGAAAAAAAATAAGCCCACAAAGGGGAAGGGGACAGGAGACCGGGGGGAAGGGGGGTTAAGTCGCAGCATTTACCTGGCAGGAAGATAGAGAAAGCAAGAATCCCTAAGATAGTCAAACACAACATAATTGAAAATGTTGCAGGCTCGGTTTGATTGAGCCTGTTCATGGACGGTACTGTCATGTGCAAACTACCGTCCACGCCCCCTATCACCGGCTTAAGCAGAATTCAACATTTAAAATGAAATGGTACAATTTTTCATTTTGAAACATCCGCAGATGTGTTCATATGGCGCTTTTTCATGGAACCTTCAATGTGACACGTTAGTGCCATTCCATGAAAAGCGGCATATGGTCCCCAATTAAAAAAATGCGTGTGCCCTAAACGAGAAAACAATGGGCGGAACTAAATAAAATGGAATTTTAAAAGGGGATCAGACTGAGGTTATGAAGCCTGCATATCACAGATAATACGTCAAAAGACAAATTTAACAAGAGGGCCATGATGGCCCTAGATCGCTTACCTGACCCATCAAACTCATCCAAACAGTTACCTAGATAAGCATTCTGACCAAATCTCATGACAGGCGAGTCAAAAATGTGACCACTACAGTGTTAACAAGGATTATCCATATTTGAGCAGTGTGACCTAGTTTTTTACCCAGGTGACCCGTATTCAAACTTGACCTAGAAATCATCAAAACAAACTTTCAGACCAATTTTCAGGAAACTTGGATCAAAACAGTAGCAACTAGAGTGTTAACAAGATTTTTCTATTTTTAGCTCCTGTGAACTAGTTTCACATGCGATTTCGAACTCATCCGAGCAATTACCTAGATAAGCATCCTGACCAAGTTTGATGATAATTGAGTCGAAAAATGTGGCCACTAGAATGTTAACAAGGTTTTTCCATATTTGGGCGGTGTGACCTAGTTTTTCATCCAACATGACCCATGTTCGTACTTGACTTAGAAATCATCAAAACAAACTTTCAGACCAATTTACAGGATATTTGGATCAAAACAGTAGCCACTAGAGTGTTAACAAGATTTTTCTATTTTTACCTCCTGTGACCTAGTTTTTCATCCGAGATGACCAATGTTCGAACTCATCCAAGCTATCACCTAGACAAACATCCTGACCAAGTAGGCAAAATTGTGACCTCTAGAGTGTTACTCTAGCCGGTGCTAGGGGGCGTGAGGGATGTTGCACTTATTCATTATCCCTCATGTACAGACTCAATCAAACCGAGTCTGCAATTCTTATGTTATTTTGTTGTGATTAATGCTTCCGAGGGATCACTTTGTTTCCAGAATTTTTTAACAAGGTTTTTCTATTTTTAGCTCTTGTGACGTAGTTTTTCATCCAAGATGACCCATGTTCGAACTCATCCGAGCTATCAACTAGATAAGCATCCTGACCAAGTTTGATGATGATTGAGGCAAAAATGCGACCGCTAGAGTGTTAACAACAAAATGTGAACGGACGACGGACAATCACCGATCCTAAAAGCCCACCCTGAGCATGCTCAGGTGAGCTAAAAAGCAGGCCACATATCCTAAGGGTGATTCAACAGTATTCATGTGAGGAATACTGGAGCTACCCAACAAGAAAAAAGCCAAATAGAAAGAACAAAATTACCACAAGCACAACAATTATGTCGTGCTGAACGATCTTTATGGATCGGAAATATAACATCATTCTCTGATTGAATGTACGGGGCGACGTTTTACAGCCTCCACACGACACAAACAACGCTGATGTTGCGATAAAATAGAGAAAGCAAGAATCCCTAGATACCTTTTGAAACTGTCGCGTTTCGGTAAGTGTACCTTACAGTGACGTATTCATGTATCCAAGATTAATATATGCTATATTAATATGCAAAATTATATGGAAATTTTGAAATTAATATTCATTGAACACATCAATAATCATACAATATCATGACCACTGAACATAATCCTCTGACATTACCAGAAAAGCTCGGGACTTTTGTGTTATGTTTTTCGTCATACACATGTGTTCCCGGGATTGTAAACGTTATTCAAAGTCCCGCTTTTTTCGACAAAACTTTCATTTATAACTCAGTAAATTGTTATGTTGAATAAGTTATTCACGAGAGAATTAATAAATTTTTTAAAGCCGTGTAAAATGTTTAATGACAGGCAGCACGGTTCACAGATTTCAAATATCCGAGAAATTTAACAAAATGTTTGTTTCTAAAACTGCTTTACACTATTTTATAAATATGGCGTGTATTTGTTTTCAGAAAGATTCATTAAATCAGAATGGCCAACGAGATTTTAGTATGTAATTCTTAAATGACCAATGAAAATCAATCGTCCGATTAACTTCATGCACGACAGCGTAAGACCGAGAGCTAATAAGTAAATGAATGCCCTTATGGAAATAATTCATTCACTCATCGTTTGATACACATTTTGACATACATTATTATTCGATGTTGTTCAATACCCTGTTTCTAGAGGAGAGCCCTTCTGAAGCACAGACAAGGAAAAGCGTCCCCTTATAGATACAGACGTATCACGATTCTTTGTTGTTTTTTAACTTTGTGAACTGACCAAACTTACTTTATTTTGCCTTTCAAAACAAGTGTGTTTAACTGTTTCGAAACTTATGTTAACATTACAAACATTCTGCACTAAAAACCCTCTTTTATGTTTGATTAACTTGTTTTGTTGAAATTAAATGTGACAACATGAGTTTCATAATGATCCCTCGTGTAACAGTTCCTCCCCCGTGCTGATGTCACTGAGTTATAAACGCGTTAAATCTGGTCACTCTTCACAGTATCAAATGTACAGGGTTGTTCAAAAAGCAATAAAACTAAGGCATTCCATTCAATTTTAACTGTATATATAGAGGACATGTTCCGATATTTGTCTCTTATAAAATTCTGTTGAACAGTAGAGCTGCAGTCCTGGTTCATTCTATAATGTTTGCCATTTTCAGAGTACAGAACTAAAATAAAATAAAGTAATATTTTGTCATCAAATCCTTTTGAAATTGAAAGTTAAACTTTTCAGTGACCTTTTTATATACAGGGTGTTTCATAATATGTGATACACTTTCAAATAATTGTTGCTTTACTGATTTTATAGCTACAAACAAAATGCTTATACCAAAATAAACTAGACACTTCACCATTTTGAATGCGACGTAAAATACGGGAAAAACGTTAACGTCATGACGTCATCTATGACGTCATTATTATCTGTTATTTTCGAGATGGCGTTGTCTATGGAAAAGTGTCAAGATATCATAAAATTGTACTATGAACTCCATTCTATCATATCTGTAACTAGAAGAATGAGGAAAATGTACCTTGCCGATAGAAGGGTGACAAGGCTACAAGTTAGCAGAGTAGTTAAAAGATTTGAGCAACATGGAAGTGTACTTGACCATAGACACAGTAACCAGGGCAGCCCTAGGACCAGCCGGAGTGACGAAAAACGTTGCAGATGTGAAACAGGTGATAAGTGAAACACCACAAAGGTCTGTAAGAAGAATTCTCTCTGATATTTCAAATTCCTCAAGTGTGACAAGTGTGTACAGGACTCTAATATTTGATCTCAAACTAACACCCTATACAATACTTGTCAGTGCTCCAACATTTGAAAGACAGTGATGTCAACCAACGCTTTGATTTTTCCGTTTGGATGACAGATCCCAGTCCTTTGGATTTATTTCCTTGGGGCTATCTCAAGGACAGAGTCTACAAAGTGCAGACAAAGACAACAGATCAGCTTAAACAGTCCATAAGATGTTAATTAAATAAGAAAGATTACTAGTGACATGTGCAATAATGTGATGGAAAACTTCATGAAACGTGTGGAGATGGTGCGACGCCATAATGGACGTCATTTTGAGTATATGCTATAAATGGACCCTGTTTTCAAGCGTAGCTAAAATATATTATTGGTAGGTTAAATAAGGAAAAAACTACACTTTTATAAATGGACAGCATTCCCTTTAATATGGTACATTTTTCATTATTACTGACATTCTTACATAAACGAGACATTTGATTAAAAGTGTATCACATATAATGAAACACCCTGTATATGTCCGTTCACACACATTATTAGTTTTAAATTACATAGCTTTAACATTAACTAGTCGGTTGACCTTGTCATTACCAAAACATTTTTTAAAACCGATTTGTGTAGAAATATTTAGATATAAATGCCGAACAATAAGGGTCATATTTAAAACAACTACATTAAGTATTACAATAATCACATTCTTTATTCATAACCCATAAAGTTACATATTTACAACAAGGTTTTCATGTTGTGTCATTACCGCAACTTTAAACAGTTAGATAATTAGTTTGTATTTACAAATTTCGCTACTATGGACTTAAAATAAAATCCTTAAGTTCCCTGATACTTAGGAGTTAAATAGCTTAGTTTTCAGAAGACATCTTTGACTAATTTGTGAAAAATAACCAAAAACAATGATGTTGTGGAAGTGACATCAATGTTTCGGAAATGACAAAAATATGGCGTCAGAAATAAAGAAATAAAATCAATGAGGAAGCTAGTTATTTGATTTGTATATATGTTTAAAATGTAATAAATATAACTACTTTAAAACTCACTATGTTTTATTAACTTATTAAATCACGAACAAAACAATTCATCAATTTTTAAACGTTATAAACGGTCATTCACACATCAACTTTCTTTTACTTTTAGTTTCCAGAAATCTTGACTTATAAGTTCATTTTAAGCACAATTGCATCCCAGACTCTTTTGTCAATCGCACGGTGTCTACTTGTAACAAGTTCTGGTTCGCCCTCCAGCATAGTAACCATCTTGTTGTGGCCATACCAAATAACATCAGGAACCATTGGCCAGAAAAAACGATTGGTGCCAATCCGGTGCATAGCAGACACCTCCAAACTTGTATCATCAACATCCAGTATCTTTCCAGGATATGGGCAACTGTCATAACTGACAACACAATATCTGTCAACTAGCGACTCATCAAATGATGCTGGCAGTTGAAGTATGTTCTCCTGTTTAAATACATTTATAAGAAATTAAATATATTAGAATTTTTTACTTTATCATCAACGTGAAATGCCATGCATATTCAAATTGAAGTAGCAAATTTTTAATCAGAATAAAATTGTATGGTAAAAAGTATTTCTTTCTATTTTAGATCCAGTACAGTACGGCGATGTTTTTTATTTTTCATTTAAATTTTCTATTTTAACGTAATCTTTAAATAATGAACAAGTTTAACTATGTTTTAAATTATTATTTGAAAGAATATGACTCATACCTGTACCGGTGAATTATCTTCATTGTTCTGTGGATGCGCTGTATTATCAGGGTTCTTAAATTATAAATATTGTCATTTAGTATATATATATATATAAAGCAAATGTGACTCCAACATTATGATTAATTATTTATTGTTTGTAATGTCATTGAATTAAATTTACATTAAACTTAGAAGAGATGTTTTTATGTCTTCAAAAAAAAGACCAAAATAGCACCATAAAAGGTTGTGTTTTTTTCTCGTTTTTTTTAAAAAATGCAATGCTCTAAATTATGCCGTGAAAAAATGTTGAGCATGTCTATTGACCAATTATTAAAATTAAATTGATATGACATTCAAATAAATTCCATTTTACCTGGAGACAGAATGTTGTTGTTACTGGGTCAAAACAAGTACAATTATCCCGACAGAAACAACTCAGTGGTCTTGATGCTATACAACCAGTATCTTTAATGACAACCTGTATAAAACATCATTGGTTATCAACAAGAAGACAAATGGAAGTTGTTGTAATGTTCGTTTATTAATGAACAATAATTAATAGAAATTAAATCATTATCAAGTGCGTTCATACAATGAAGTAAATTTTTTCTGTAAACCCTTAACATGTGATCTAAGATATTAACTAGAAAATACTGATCATGCACAAACAAGTATTAAACGTACAAAGGTCAGTTCAAGTTCATCATGTGTGATGATACTACAGAAGTTATCTTTAAAAGTTATTTCTTGTAATTTATTATCATAAACATTCGTAAAATTTTGTAAATAAAGATACTTTTGACACTTTCGGGGTTTTTTTTTGTTTATTTAACATATTTCAGGTCATATTACATGTATCATTCTAAAATTCATAAAAATGCCATTCTTAAAGTACCTGGTGGATTTTCATTGTATCTCGAACAGAAATAATAGTAGAAGGAATCTTGCGCTCTATATTTGTTATGTCTTCATCTTTTACTTCAAAAGCCGAAACACTTGTTTTCAACATCAACAGTCCTGAAAATGTAGAGTTTCATGTGTATTACTAATGATGATAAATCGCTAGTACATGTAATTGACAAAAAAAGGAATTTAATGTGGACATTATCTAAAAATACGACGTTCTTTTGATTTTTTTCTTCTTTATGTTTCTTTTTATACATATAAAAAAACTGTTACTGAATAAAAATAAATTATAGTCTTATATTCTTACTAGTATTTTTACTTTGCATAATAATGAATGTCAATTATAATATGCAGTGCATATTGTTATATATAAATGTCATTTGTTCTCAAGTTAATTTACCTTCAATAAGATCGGCAGAGCATGTGATGTCTCGTCTGTACGTATTTACCAGAGTATCAGCCGCTCTTTTAACTACCCGCTCCTATCCCATCAGGAGCACCCTTTCCGTGCCCTGCCTCCATGAAGTTCCACGAACCACCTTCAGGGATATAAAGTTCTTTTGGTTTTGTTGAAAATAGATAGAAATTTGCTCTACAGCGATATTGCGTAGTTGGTCCATCTGATATGACATGTAGTTTATTGATCAAAGGATACTTCTCTTTGATAAACTTAATTGGCGGTTCTAAGTGAGCCCAAATGGCAGCTGGTCCATGGCTAAGATTGTCAGATATTGTGACAAATGGAAGTGTTGTATCATGCACATATGCAACACCTGTGTGTATCGAGATTTGCTTTTTAGAAAGCCCGAAATGGACACTTTGAATTTCTTCTTGATATTTACATTGATAGTTTTCAGAAAAATCGACATGTAAAATAAGTTCATTTTCTTTGCATGTCTCTTTAAGTTTTTTCAGCATGATAAATTGATGGTTGATATTAAATTGGTGTCTTGCTAGCCTTTCTATGTCCAATTGGAGGTCATCAACAAGTGTTGTCAGTGTCCCAGATTCATTTTCTTTAAGTGTAACATTATGCTTTGAAAGTACAGTTTCTCCATTACTGCATTTTTCTTTTTCTATTCTTCTTGACTTCCATATTTTCTCTGTCGTATCCTTGTTTCTGTTATTCCAGTTTCCTTTGCAGCATATGAACCTATCTTATATTTCTTCAGCACCGTTTCTCTGAATATCAGTTTTTTGACAATGCGCTTCTCTTGTGTATTTGTACCTGAATATCTCTGCTTCATGTTTCTTACAAGAAGAAAATAAAGAGATAATGCACGTTTAGTCGTCTGCTTCTGTTTCATAACATGTTCTACTTTTTGTTCAATTTCATCCTTGTTTGATTTGATTAATCTGAAATAGCGTTTCTTATATTTGTTCTTCAGCCTTCGTTCCTTATTAAGCATTATTCGAAGTTTAAATTGATCCCTGTAAGCTTTTGATCTGTTACGGTTCTTCTTTTTTCGCACACTCAACCTGTTGCGTTCATGAACTCTATTTGGCTGTTCTGGGAAGAAATGTTCTGGTGATGTTGGTGGCGTAATTGTTTCTCCCATAGCTTTTTTTATCCGTTTATCTTTTTCACGTTTTGACCTTTGATTTTCCTTCCAGTGACGTCTCTGTTTTCGTTGGTCTCTGTCTGACATCTCATTGATAGTTTTTATTTCACCTGTTTTTTTTTCTCTTTTGATATCTTTCTCTCTCCTGTTGTTTGTAGAGTTCGTGCTTTGTGGGATCCTCCTTCTGTCTTTTTCGCCACAATGCTGATCTTTCTTTGCTTGTGAGAGGCATTCCTGTAACTGTTTCCAAAATAAATGTCGCTGTTCTTTCTTTACTTCTAATGTATCTCTGAGTTCAATGATACTGTCATGAACAGAATCTGAGACCTCCAGCCTACTGACTTCAAGAAGATATTTTTCTGTCTTTGCAATAAAATTGTCGAGATTATTGATAAGTTCTTTTACATGAATGATGCTTTGGTCTATATCTGAAATGAAAGATTGTTCAATATTTTAATATGTCATCACCGAAACGGGACTTTACACTTAGTATGTATCTTTTCACTATTTCGTTGCTAAACAAATCCAAAAAGAAGTGTTTGGTTCACAACAAGATAACTGTTCATTTCGTGAATTTTGAAATAAGATTTAATCAACCTTCACATCTACAAAATATTGATCTGTTATAAAGATCTACAAAGGTTATATGTTATAATATTAGTTTCTTCATAATATTGATTTTTTTATCCTTTTAATGTAGCTAAAGATATTTTAATTGAAAGACAAGTGAATTTACAGATTTTTAAGGTAATGTTTCTTTAAAATATTTGTTTTCTTTAAAAAGTCTCGAAAATTCATTCAAAAGAAAACAAATGTCATTACCGAAACAATAACGTCATTACCGCAATATTTTGTCCGTTTCGGAAATGACAGTTTCGGTAATGACATTACCCTTTAAAATGATAAAAAGCGTCTATATGATCAGCATATATGTTATTTTAAATTAGTACCAAGGCATCATTTAAGTATATGTTATGTTTTTGTCTCTGACAAATTAGATTTTACACAAAAACAAATTTCAGAATTGGCATTCGGAAATGACTATACAAAAACATACGGCCAAATAAAGTAAACTTACCCGCAGCGTTGTTTAGTTCTTCCATTTGTTGGAGAGAAATGGCCGCGTTTAAAATTTCGCGCCGTACACAACTTTTAATGACGTAATCAACTGTTTATGTTATATTGTTTATTACTCGGATTTCAGTATTATACGGGGAAGTTTCGGAAATGACATAGAACTTGGTGACAAAATTTTCAAGTAAAATTTTGATTCTGCTGACTGATATAATGTTTAATAAATAAATTGTAATTAATGTACTATAATTTAATTTAATGTTATGAATATGTTTTTATGAATGTAAAAGAATATTTGAAAATAAATTAATTACATATAATTATCTCCGCCTCGGGTGACAATTGTATAAATGATAACAGGCAATGCAAAATTCATGATTTTTTTTTTAATAAATGAAGGGGCATTTTTCTTTATCAGGAAATTTTAAAAAATATGTATGATTGATATCATATATGTAATTTGCTTAATTTATTTCAAATAAATGACTGAAAACTGACATTTTCATGTGGGTGACAAGAATTTGGCAAACATTATAGAATGAACCAGGACTATTACTTTTTGAACAATATTTGAGCTATATATCTCACACGTACAAACACTATTCACACTTAAATCACAGAGTACATGCCATTACTGTAAACTGGATCTGCTTAGCACTGTGAAAGAATACTGGTAATGTAATAAAAATAGGTTTTTTTAAAAGAAGCAGGGGGTATTGAATAACACCTAAATTTCTTTCTCATTTATTATCTATGAAATGACTTAAGAGTAGCTGCTTATGGCTCAGATTTAATTTTGTTCTCACAAAAAATGTAATGTTTTACCGTTCCGATGTCAACTTTTCTTATGAGAAATTACATTAAATTTAGATAGATGTCTTTGTCACAAGCTAAAGTTGTTAAATTATTCCCGGTGCCATATCTCCTAATCATGTCGGCTTAGTGTTTTATAAGAAAATTAAAATTAAGATAAATCTTTAAATGAAATTAATACATACTTTGTCAAATACCATCAGAAACTGTGCCAATTTTAGGTTAAACTGTAATAAATATTTAATGGTTCATAAATTAATTATAATTATATAAGTCTGTCAGCTTTATGTATTTTGTTTTCAGCTACAGACAACATTTGTATAAGCAAAATAATTACAAACACGTCTACAATATTGCTTGACAGACAGTTGCGTACCATTGCTCGTATTTATACATCAATATTTATATTTTTGAAGGGATGTGCACAAATATTTCAATGCTTTATACAGTACCGTCCATGAACAGGCTCAATCAAACCGAGCCTGCAACATTTTCAATTTTGCCGTGTTGGGCTTTCTTTGGGGATTCTTTTTTTCTCTATTTTACCTTTACTTCGGAATATATTTTATTTAACTAACTTAAAGTTACTACTATGAACAAAATAATACAGGATACAAATTAAATATTTCATAAACTATTACTTGCTTGCCGTCCAATACCCAAACTCCTCACAGCGGTTACGTCACGCTTTGCTACTTTAACCACTGCCACCACAAAAATCACGTGATGATGCTCTTATCACATGATGGTTACAAAATGGCGGATACACCAAAGAAGTCTTTGAATTGTTGTTTTATTTGCTACAAACAGCGGCACTACAATTTGACGTATGGTGTCAAGTCTGTTGATGTTGTTAACAAAATTTCATTCCTGTTAAAAAGGAACTTTAATGCCGTAGTGGAGGCAAAAAAATCACTCGGCATATGTAAATCGTGTAATATTAAGATTCTCAACACCTACGAGTTTGTAAAGCTGTTGGAAACCGCCGACCAACAGTGCTCTGGTGACCACTCAGACTCTTGTCGGTTGAAACGGATGGCAGTAAGCCCACTTACGCCCAAACTGGCAAAACCTGATTCAGGTAGGACCTCAATTTTTATTCATTTGAATTTGTTAAACATTTAAACACTACTGTAAAGGATATGTATATATATAGTCAGTATCCTGGTTGTACATGTACTATCTACCGGGAGTGTAAGCCTTATAGGCCCACCATCATATAATACTGAATAAATCTAGGACGAAATATTTATTTTCTGTAGAACTTAAGGTATCATTTTTTGATGAAAATAACAATTATCCAAAAGAAATTTTAACTATACATCAAAAAGATAGTTCTGTTAATAACCTCATATGATGGCAGCCATCATTGTTTTTAAGTACTTAATACTAGGAATGCCTTTTAAGCAATCAATAAAAGTTAAAAAACATATGTTAAAAACATATGACACCCATTCAAAATATCTTGTACGTAACATGGGTCCAAATTGTTAGTCATACTGCTGGTTTTTATACATGAAACACAATTATGTGAATAACTTGAATTTTCTTCATAAAAATGCAATATTTTGTATGAAATTAATGTGAAAAATACTTTCATACAAAATAATTTTTTTATGTAAGATTAATTTGTAATATGTGGACATTCCCGGTGCAAAGTACCTCCCGGTATAAAGTACCTTGAGGATATACTATGGACTGGTCCAACTTTGATTTGTGAACAGTCCATTGTAGCTTAAAGGGAAATCAAGATGAAAAAATATATATTTGAGTAGACAAATTAAAGAAATTGACTAATATTCTTAATAAACCGCTTCACGGGTTGATCCTTTCCACATTATAGCTCTACTGATATTTCCATACTGGATTGCAAAGTATTACCTAGGATGCTAACACATGCTACCATTTATTCATTCTAAATTGAGGGCTTTTATTACATTCTGTTTTTATAGCTTTTCAGTGCATTTACTTTATCATTTAACAAACATTTTTTTAAATTTTGCAGCTCCAAAGAAGAGACTTTCAGCTGCCAGGAAATCACTAGATCTCCATAAACCTGAAGTGCCTTCACCCTCGCCTTCATGTGAGCATAATTACAGCTTAATGTTCATTCCATCTACTCCAAATTTTTTAAATGTTTGCAAATAGAAAAAGGTCATAATAAGAGTTTATCAAGGCCATAAAATTGATAAGTAATTATCAAAAATATGTCAGCAGCGTATTTTCACACATTGACGTTCAAGTCAGTCATTGTTGTTAAACAAAAAATCATGTGTGACCCAAATTAAACATCCAAGTTGCTTTGATATTTTTTTCAGCAGCTAAAAAATTTTTTATAATAATAACAGACAATTATTTCATAAAACATAGGTGTTATGACTGCCAAGTCGGTGTCTGAAAACATGTAAAATAAACACAATTTAATTACCCCACTTTGGGACCTCACTACCTGTGTTTTTATCTAGAAATAAACATGTCATCATATCGGTCTTGAACCAAACTTCCTCCTGATAAAAAATCTAGTGTCGAATGTAAGGAGTTTTTAGTAATTGTAAAAAGTATCCGAAAAAATATCCGGTTGTAGGTCACCAATAAGTATACATTGTAATAATAAAACTCACTAGTGTGTGGCACAGTATTCAAAACATAATAAATGCAATCCATAATTCTTTGATTTTGACAGCAGGGTCAACTCCTTACTCTGACTCGGGTAGTGATCAACCAATACTAGAGGTAGATGATCATGATTATTGTCTAAGTGAACATCACAAGAGAAAGCCTTTGGAACACTCTTACTGTCAAACTGAAGAAGAGGAGTCTAATGAGAACCAGACTGAAAAGCAAATCACTTCGTTAGATTTTATGAGGTTGTCAGCAATAAGTGATAATTCCAAACCAACTGATCCAATGATCCAGGAAATTGTCAGGCATATTACTTCAAATAAGATACTTTCAGGCAAAATCCAGTGTGTCAATGTTCAATCAGTTATTTTTTATTTTTTGAAATTGTATGATATAATCTGTGCTATTTAAGAAAAAAAGCTCCATTAAACATATGTTATTTCTAGAACCTACCATAACAAATCCATTATCAAAACTGTGAAACAGTGTACAAAGCATTAAAGTAAATTAGCTTTATATTACAGTATGATTATATGATAATGTTGCATGTTAAGAAGTAACCAGATAATTATAATAATAATCATGATTTAAACTGATATCCCAGTAACAGCAGTTAAAAGATATGCCTGTTTTAACTGAACAGTGCAGAAATGTAAGCACCTGAAATTTTGTCACTTTACTAAACTGGACCAGACAACTTTACGTTTTTTATATCATTTCATTCAACATTGTTTCAGACTCTAATGCAGGCTGTGCAGGCACACATATTGACGGACATAGACATGCACTGCTCAACAATGGTGTCTCGGAATGCTGCTCTTGGAAGCGTGTTATCAAGGTACAGAAGTGTAAATAGTCTGGTTGATTATGGAGACAAACTTCTACAAGAAATTGTCCGAGAAATGTCTGAAAGGTAAATTTATTTGTCCGAATAATAAACAAGTTTTTTGTTATGAATTTCACATGATATGTAATGTTTGAATAAAACAATTTGTTTAGCAATTTTCAAATAGTCATTATTTTAGGAATGGTAGGTTTGCTGCTTATATTTGTCTTGTATTCTTTGTTACAAACAGCAGACTTCCGTTCCTACTTGATATCTTCACCATAATGGTAACTGCTGGAAAAGAGCCAGTTGAAAGTAAGGCTGTCCATGTAGCTGCAGCATATGCAGTCCTAATGAATGGTAGAAATGACAAACTTTCCGCATGGCACAGGCTTACAACATTCATAACTATAAAAAGGACAATTGGATGATTCTGTAAGTATTGTTCTTTTTATGTTATATATAATTTGTACATGTATTATGCTTTCATTAAAAGAAGATCTCTTTGCTGTTAATCAAATGAGAAAAACTGTGCTACCATAATGATAGTAAAATATATCCTGTCAGAATGTCATGTATTATCAAAGCAATATGTTAAATTGTTGCTTGTTGTTCTAATCATGGGTGTATGTACATTGTAATAAAAGTAAGTTATGTTTATGTACTTTACCACCAGGCATTGACAAGACTTAACCATTTGGGTCTCACCTTATCGGCAACAAGTAAACTTAGGCTGTTGGATGAGACTGGAAACAGAATGGAAACAAGTGTAGCTTCAACATTACAGAGGAATCCAATTATCAAAGTCACTGGTGACAATCTCGACATATATGTGAGAACAGGTCATAAAAGTCTAGAAAGATCAAACCAAGACATTCATCTGTTTGCCTCAAATATCATATTCAGCAGGGTTGGTATAGTAACATTTTTTTCAGAACATTTCTTTCTGAATAACTCAAGGGCTCGAAGTATGCTGTTTTTTCTCTAAGAAAATTGGTGTGAATCATAATGTAGAAACTATTTATATTGAAATGTACATAAATGTATAAAGTAACAAAATAACTTTTATAATATATACTGGTATACACACATTTATATATATCTTCATTACAGATTGTTAAACCTGGTCTGTATAGTATGGTAAAACCACTTTGTGATCTGCAAAGTTTGACCCCAGAACTATTCTTTCCATCTGAGCAAGACCGTGAATCTCTAAGAAGAAGCTACTGTGTTATGTTAGGTAGGTGGTAAATAAACATACATACTGTTAAAGTGAATAGGTCTTAAACTGAAGGTCTGCAATACTAGAAATAATATAGCTGATAGTATTTAGTATTAAATAAAGCAACAAACAAGGAAATTATACAGCATTGGTGTTGTTTGTATGTTTGAGATAAATTACCTGATACCATATATCATTATATGGTAGTAAATAAAGTATTACTGAACAGAAATTATTATTCATCATATTCATCACATGAATGTTGTTATCAAAACACTCAGAAACCTAACAATATATTTTCTTTCCAGAAATATTTCATAGGAATATCCAAACAATACATTTCTATTGTTTTTATCAATATTAGAAATATTTATGTAAAATATTTTCATTGTGGACCTATTAAGGGCTGCTGTTGCTAATAATATAGTGAATAATTGAAATCTCTGTACATTTAGCTTAACTTTAATTTGCATTTACATCTTGGGAGAATATATTTGTGACAATAGCATTTTAATATATTATTTAAGTTACTCTCTTAAAATCCCAAAATTTCAGTTTGCTTTCAAAGAAGCTAACAGTGAGTGTTTGGTGTAAGTGGCATGGGCATTTATGTTACTTGTATTTACTTATTCCAAAAATGCAATTTTCTCTGAATTGTTAGTCATGTATCTTTGTATAATTATAGCTAGGATCCTCATGGGGTTACCAACATACAAATGGATGCGTTCTGTTGTACCATCACACATCTATCATCCATACCAAAGACAGATGAGCCAACGGTCAGAGGTTTTTCAGCTACCTATTCAGATGAAAAATGAGTCGAAGCATGAGGATTGTGTTGACATTCTGGATGGTTATGAGGATATTCTGACAGGGATATACAACAAAGCATTTGGTATGTCAAGTTGCAAGAGTTTTCTGCAATACTTTCAGTTCTTTGTTCAATTTCTTGCTTTTGCCTTTCATTTAATCATTCTGTGAAATAATCGTCAGATCATGCTGATAATGCGTCTTATTATTTAACTAAAATCAGGTTTGCGAAATCATACATTATTAAACCTCATATTCATGCTTTCTTTTTTCATTTTCTATAATTATCATCATAATTACATTTCGTTTAAAATTAAATGTAGCCAGTTAAATTTTTGGTCCATAGCAATTGAATATATTCATGCAGCAGCAATTAAATTTAGGTACTTTAATAGACAAACAATTCTTATTACACAATACAATATAATGTTACACACTATTAAAAGTACAATTTGGTGTAATAATGATTGAACAGTGTTTTCATATTACGAAAATTACATGAAATTTTTTTGATAACATAAAACACATTAACCTCGGATAACTATATATTTGTATTTCACAGAGTGAATAGCTGTTTTTTTCCTTATTGCTTTAAAAATAGCATACCTCCAAAGTTATGATAAAAAAATTTAAAATGTTACGGTCTAAATAGTAAATATTCTGAAAAATATTTAAGTGATCTCATCTATCTTGAGGCACATTTAGCCATTTACTAAAATGTTATTTATTCGACTACAGAAATTAAAATTTACAGGATTTCTTATCCATATTATGCTAAATTGACATAAAATATACTGATTTATCTGAAATTCAAATTTTCAATGATTGCTCATCTGGAGGCATGCAGTTTTAAAATGCAAGAGGATATTGATAATATTCATAAGGATTTGTTATGAACTTTGGTGAGTATTTAGTGATTGAATATTTCTGTTTTAAGTTTCTGTTTTGATTGTTTTACTGTTTACTGTTCCAGTTCACCATGGATTTACAATCTTCCAAATGTTTTCTTTGATGTTTTAATTAGAAGCTAACATCAGTAAAGTCAACAAAGGAAGACCACAGGTAATTATGGCAACAATTTTGCATGGCTGGAAAGATAATGAATTTAAGAAGTATTACATTTAACAGTCCTTAAAATTGATATTAAAGATGTATTTGTAAGTAATTCAAGTTTTCAAAGTCTTCACTAGGCTCTATTTTCCATATACATAATAATTATTATGTGCATTTAATTATATCCTATAACTTGGGCTATAAGTGGACTTCTTCTCCTTCAGAGTACAATGTAAGTTATGAAGCTGATAGATTGGAATGTCTCATCTTTAAAGTCAAAACTTAAGGCCATTTGGGATAAATTAGCAACAAACTATAATTGTGGGGTACGAATCACCTGTAGTTATAAAGAATCATTTTGTGTCAAATACAATCTGTTCAAACATCTATTTTAGATTAGATAATATTGTATATTTTCCCTCAGTATATGTAGATAATGCATTTCTTGCTGTAGCTTACATGATTTTAATTATTTGTTTGTCAAAAAGGATCAGATGAGCTGTTCCAGAAATTTAAAGTTGTTGTTGGTGGGGATCAACTAACTAGAGTTCGCTTGGAAGAGGCAAAACTTTTAAGGGCTTTAGCTACTTCTCCAAAGAGGCGGTTTGATGACCTCCAACCATTTGTAGTGGAACTATGGCATGTCAAGCAAGATTTCTTGGAGGTACATGATTGTAATAAGCTTTGCTTGATGTTGATCTGGTTAACTTCTAGCTACTTATTTGTTTAATAGACATTAACATACATGCAATTACATGGTAGATAATTTAAAGGAGAATATATAGGTATAGGCTGTTAGATAAACTAAATGAGATAAAGAAATTATTTCAAATAATTTATCAATTTTATCAGGAAAATCTTCCATTTTTTTAGCACAAAGTAATACATTTCAAAAATAACTGTACTATAAAACTGTAGACATAAAAGTAGACAAGAAATTAGCATCATGTAATTTGATTTTGAGACAAATGGATTTCCAAACCAGCTTGCATACAACTTGATATACATAGATGAATTGTTATTATAGTATTCTTTCAATACATTTTGCATGTTTACAGTTTCAATACCTTTGCTTTAGCATATGTTTAACATTTGGGCAAAGATGTTGCCAATAATTTGCAGGTAGAATATGAAGGGGACATTATGACTTTAAACAAAGAAAAGATTTTTACACCACTTTGCATGTTATATGTTTTCAATTTGAATAATTATTTTAACAGATTATTTCAGGAACTGGTAAAAATACTTTAAATAACATAAGAAATATAAGATATAATATATGAGACAAGCAATATAATAAGAAGCATTTCTTTTGAAGACACTGTATAAGACACTGTATACAATTACTCATGTAATCTTTGCCACTGGTTTCTGCATTTGATACACATGGAAGATGTTGTCAGAGAGGGTGATGTGATAAGATTAATTCCAACTCTGAAATATTCACTTCAGTTCTTCTTTTCACACTCAAGGCTGTCAAAGTATTTTGTTGAATGCTTGGATTTCATCCTTAAAACAGAATATCTGCTAAGTCAGATGCAGAGAATGAGAGTATTAGAAGGAGCATTTGTCAATCTTAGAGGTGGTCTTGGTCAAAATATCGAGTGTGACCTTGTAAAAGAAAATTCTGTCAGAAATCAGAAGGATTTGATAAGAGCTCTTGGAGCAAACAAAACCAACAAAGCCATATATCGCAGCACCAAAGCTGCTGATACTGTTGCAGACATCTGCAGCAAGGTGGATGAATCTGTAAGTGTAAAGAAACAGAGTACGAGACATCAAATTCCAAAATCAGTGAAGGATGAAGTAGTGATTCATCAGTCTCTTAGAGCACTAAGACCATTCTTCAAAGAAACAGACCGAAACTGTCAAGGTATGCTGAAAGTTGCAGCATCTCCATTAATGAAAATTGACACTAAAGACTTCAAATACAGAATACATCAAGTTGTATCAAGGCTCTTCTATGGCCAGAATACTAGGACAAGGGATGTGTCTGATGATGAGTATGATGATGATGACTGACTATTTGATATTAATAACTGATACAGGAACAGACATATGGGTATCATTTGTAAGAGTGTAAGCTTCATGGAGATGATGTTTCCCTGGCATCTAACCAGAAATCTTGTACAATTCTGAGTATTCTAAATATGAGACAAGAAATAAAAGCTTGTTTAAAGGGACTCCACTGAAGTTTTTTGACATGATGGGACTGGAAATATTTTTTCCTGATAAATGTACCATTTAATGTAGGTGTAGACCACAAATTTTTTGTGCAAACTTTCAGATCATTCGCGCACTTCGTTTTTCCATAATAATTATTCAAATTGTAAAAAATGACCCAAAATGAAAAGCATCTAAACGCTTTTCACTCAAATAAGGCTAAGAAAAGCACAAAAATACGATTTTCGATTTATTTTAAAGTATACTGTATTTCTTAACTATCTTTGCATATATATCTGTTTAAAGCGCCCCAGTTCATTTACATGTGTTTGTAAGTAATTCTAATGTTATGTTTTTAGGCTTTTAAACCTCAGTGGAGTCCCTTTAAGTGCCATTTCAATGAAAAAATTAATAAATGTTTATGTTTAAAACAACATTTATTTAGGTTCTTTAATGAACAATATCTTATATTAGTCTAAATATTGCTATGCATTTTCAATAAGGGCTTGTGATGTCATTCTGTAAAAACTAAGGCAATAGGACATAAACCTAAGTTATTAAGTGTTTATTTCTAAACTGATCATATTCAATTTGGTTCAATAAAGATATTCCCAATTATTAAAATGACTTTTTTTAAAAATACACATTACTTGTTTTCCAACGTAATACCATTTTTGTTCTGCATAATGTACAAAAAATGTCAATACCTTTATACTAAATGTATCATATTTTTATTAAGACTCTTCACCACTTGGAGAAATAACATGTTTCTTGTTAACTTATTGATTGTGTTTATTTACTTTGTACAAGATGTCTGTTTTTTGCAATATGAACAACATTTGTCACCATCAATATTGTCAGATTTCAAAAATCCAAATGGTTCCAGCAGCATTTCACGGAGACACTTTACATCATTGTTACAGTATTCAACAATATTGTCCTGGATACCTGGTAAATTCTTAGCAACATCTTGTTTATTACAATAGAGAATGGCTTTACTGGGTTGTCCTCTTCTACCGGCCCGTCCTATTTCCTGCAGGTACTGAGACAAACTTCTTGGTGGTTTGGCATGGATCACTCTCTCAATGCAAGGAGGATCAAAGCCCATACCAGCAACCGATGATGTAAGAACTAAACGAATTCTGGGTTGGGGTAAATACAATTCTTCTACTGTTGCTTTAATTACTGCCTTTTCCTGCCTAGAATACAACACAGAGTAACAAGACTTTGTTATGTCACAAGGTCCAAAGAGATGCATTAAGTATGCTGCTGCTTGGCTGATGTAATATAATGGCATAAACATTAGTGTTATTGGATAAATTTTAGGGTCTTTGTGAAGTAATTCACACTCTTCTTTAAAGATTTCCTCATACACCCCACACATATCACTACTTTTCACTTTCATGATTTTTGAAAGAAATATATTGGTTCTATCTGGGGTTTCCTGTACTAACGCAGGACAAAGTAAGCCAAGGATGTCTGGTAATGTCCTCATTTGATCTTTGGTAAGGGTCCCACTTAAGGCAATGAAGGGAATTCTATCAAATATTGCTGGCAACATCTTTAGTTTTTTGTAAGCTGTCCTGAACTCCGCTCCCCTGAAATTGATTACATTTTAGATATGATAATGGTGTAACGGAATGATAGTTGAAATCAACTATGTTATGAAAACATTAACTTTATTAAAAGTTGTTTTTGTTGTGTATTATACATTTGTGTGTCAAGGGCAGGTGGCCACATTAAATTTTCAAATTAACTTTGGTACTATTAATAAAAAGATTTTAATTCTGCTTGTTTAAATTTGATATTATTAATACTTAAATGTCTAAGCTTTTCTTATTGACTAATATGCATACATTATATTATACAGTTGAGCTTTTTGAAAATCTAGCGAAACACCGTGTTCCGGTACGTTTGCTCTGGGGAATTGTACCAAATGAAGTACATAATACAGTTACATGATATTTTTATTTTTCTATCATTATTTTACAGTTTAAAGACTCTGTAACAATTTCTCATGGTTTTATTTCATGAATATGATGCTCAAATTAAGATTTGTCAATCTTGTAAGTTTCAATAAGCAATATTTATAAAGATATTACTGAATTTAACATTTCATGTAAATAAAGGGAGGTAATTAGAAATTTATTTTCTATTAATTCTAAAGATGATGTCTTTGATAATTATCTTTATTCTTTTAATAACTATTGCAAATTTTTCAAAAAAATAAATTGTTTATTATGAAATAAAATTTATTGTCAGTCATAGTGGAATCTTCCATAATAAATAGATATTTTCTGTGTAAACTTGCGTATTTTCTTTATTTTTTGTATATTTTTTGAGTTAATTATACAATGATATTTAATTAATTCCTTACAAAAAAATAACTGTTGTCTTTCACTTTTATTTAAAAAGAGGCCAAAACCCTCAAGTTCTTTATAACACTCCATTAGGTGAATTCCCCAGAGCTTAGTCTACAGAAAGTACGTTTACGAATTTGTGAATGACATAGCATTACTTGAATAAATAAGAAATTTGTAAAATTTTGAGTTGTTTGTAAATAATAATCAATATCAAGGTATATATACTTGGTTTATATATACATATGTACTATGTACTTCTACCACCACCATCCTCTGGCCAGTTACTGAATTAGTGCAAAGATTCACTCAAACTTAGTTACAGACTTACACTTAAAGTGTACATAATATACCTCTAAAAAATATAATCATAATTCAACACTTCAACACTATTTCACTGAAACCTTGACAATTTGACTTTAACAGTGCATTATTTCCTACTTTTCATCTATAGCCCCTTTACATATGGGCTGTGAACAGTGTAGCTTTATTATACATGCAGTACTTTTCTTACTTTTCTTTGACACCACAAGGTCAGTGATCAGTGACTTTTGAGTATATTATCAAACCTACAGCCCTTGCCAGGATTTGAACCTGGGTTTCTGTACATAAAATGGACAGCGTTCTATCCTTGAACTACAAGGGTTATGACAGGTTGAAATAACTTCATTACTATCTGAAAATTGGCAAAATTCCTATTAAAAAAATAATATACCTAGATTAAGGATACTGAGGATTTTTCATTCATCAATTAAATTTATGATAAATAAATGGAATTACTCAGTAAACTAATTGATTATACTTACCAAATTAATACATTAATAATAATCATTTTATGAGTCATTTAAGTCATAATTTTAATCATGTGAGCTTGCAAATACCCTGGTAATGGTAAAACAATAATACTGTCTTACTCATGAAAAAAAAAACACTTTTAAATAGAAAAAAAAACCAAGAACATAGATCATGCAGGTTTCAGATATAGTATAATTAATGCATTTACCATTCCTCAACAATGTGACATTCATCTATTGTCACTGCTGCCACTGCATCTATGAAAGCCCTGTCTTGGAGAAGTGACTTCCCAAAGTCAGTATTTAACAAGGCCTCTGGGTGTGCAAATATGACTGAATTTTCAAGAATTTTTGACAAATCCATGTCAACGTCTGGTTCCTTATCACTGTATGGTAACCTACATGCTGTGACACCGCGAGATCCTAAAAAATTTAACTGCTCCTCCTGTATTATATTTAAGGGGGATACGACCAATACAACATTCTTTGTTAACCCCTTCTTCTTCATGATGCCTGGCAACAATTGGTAAACAAGGCTTTTCCCGTATCCAACTGGCAGATTTACAATTACATCCTTACCAGATAAAATATGTTCAAAGCACTCAATTTGCTTACTCTTTAAAACAAGTGCCGGATCAAAATCCTTTGCACAATCGTTCAGTAACTGTTTAACTTCAGCCATTATTTACTAAACAACGGTGTCACAGTGAAAATATCTTTCGTTATATTTACAATTTTTTTTTATAACGTATTTTTTTTTACTTTCTTGTACATTAAGCATAACAATTTAATGAAAGAAAACTAAAATGTTATAAAGTATTCTATTTGAAAAATAAAAGTTAAAAAAATAAATCCGGCTATATTCGACCGAATTTACTTGTGGTGGCAGTGGTTACTGTACAGATCAGGGGAAGTAACCGCTGCGAGGAGTTTGTCCAATACCATCAGAAATTGTGATAAACTGTAATAAATATTGAATGCGTCTTAAACAATATAAAATTATATCAGTCTACCAGCACTTCATTTTGCTTTTAGCTACAGACAACCAATTACAAAAACGACTTAATATCTAATCCTTTCGTATGCTTTTATCATTTATATTAAATGAACTTAAGGAGGACAATTCCAACACAGTGTCACTCGGTGTACGGTTATATTGTCTTGATGTATATGACTGTGGTTGCCTTTGATATATTTACCATGGTAATGTATCTGATGTAATTGAAAAATACAGCATGTTACTCTGTATGCGCACAAGAAAAATATAATTGTATTTTGTGGAAAAAAAAGTTTCAAGGTAATCTAGTACGTTTAAAGCTACCAGTAATGTATTATGTAAATTCCTAAATGTACACACAGAGACGCGCGAGCAATGACGCAGTTTTAGCAGACGTCATCACAGTGAAATTTGTGATAACAAATGAATAAAGAAGAAGTAACTTTTAAATTAAAAGAAAGATACTCGGCCAAAGTAAGACTGTTGGACTTTAATATGATACTGGTTTGGGAGATAAACTCGGTCGAAAACCGGTGTTTTGGGCCATGTTGACGTATTATGATGAATCTTGCACCATAAAAAACTTCAGCTCTTCGATTTTCCGGTTTTACCATAAAAGTTATATTTAGAAAAAGAACTGGTAATTTTGAGAGGCAATGGAAGAGGTACGTAAAAAAGGATATTTTAACGCACGCGAGTAGATAATTCCGGCTTTTTGTTTTTCTTCTTAAATAAGTAAGTTAAAACGTGAAATAACATGTTTAGACGTTTTATTATTTCTCTACTATTCATATATGTCAAATGAACAAATTATTTGTTATCATAATTTCTGAGCATTACGTTATTATGATGAATCTCTATGGTAATATGATATTTAATATGCAACGCACTGTGTAACGTATAAACCAATTAAACGTAAAATCATCTTTCTTTTTTTTAAAGTAAATAGATAAATAATAATCACAATCACAAATTATCAGAAACTAATTATCAGATACAGATATGATATTATATTACAGATATGATATTATATTCATACCTTAAGAACGTAAATAATAATTGATATGATCTAAACATGATAGAACATCGATAGGTCATCTCTATTTTTACACATATATAGTAAAATTTAATACAATTCTTTATCAACACACAGTATCCATATTAACAAAACATTAATTAATTAATTCATTCATTCATTTATTTAATTATTTATTTATTTATTTATTTATTCATTCATTCATGCATTCATTTACTTATTCATTCTTTCATTCCTCCCTATCGAGGGGTGAAAGCGAAAAAGGTTCTAGGTGCATTTTCCAAAATTTTACAGGAGAAGCAACAAGCTGTCTCAAATGTTTGTAAAATAGCAAATTCCACAACATTTTGATTTACACATAAAAATGTTTAAGAAACATATCAATGATAATAAAAATTCTAGGAAAGGCTTGACAAACAAGATATTTAATCAAATGTAACTTAGAACTGTTTCGCACTTAAAATTTCTCATATTTTGATTTTTATGTTCAAAGCGAAAAGGTTCCAAGTGACATTTTGATAGAACAAAAGCATGTTTTTTTCTTATTTAATTTAAGATAGAGCAACATTTTGTCATTTCTAGTTATTCAGCAAGAAATCGCGTATAAATTGCCAGATAGGACTGTTTCGCATTTACTTTTTATTTTGATTTCATATTTAAGGTGTGAGACATTCTATAACTCCACTTTCAAGTTCATGAAATTTTAAGTTTGACTGTTTAAATTAGAAACATAAATAAAGGTCATAATCGATAGTGTACAAAACTTTTAAAGAACATGATGGGCATTAATCCCACCTGTTTTAAAAAAAACAACAACAAAAACAAATGCCAACTAATTTGATAACCATTTTTAGCTGAACTATACAAAGTATATGGAGAGTTACATGTATCCTACTCGCCCCGGCGTTCGCGTCCAGATTTCAGATTAAAGTTTTGGTGCAGTAAAATACTTAAGGTATCAACTTCAAATATATGTTCCTACAGCCTTCGTGGTCAATTCCTATGCATCAAAACTCCAAACCGGTGTTAAATAGCATAGCCAATAAACACCACCAAGACCGATATTATTTCTTAATCATTACACATTGTGTGACATGGTACATTACTACTTCCAGAATTATTCCCCCTCTAAACTTTGAATTTATGTTAACAATTTTTCTTTACTAAAACTTCTTGTCATATGGATAAGAAAGTTATAAAACGCAAACTCCTGTATTCCAAGAATTATCCCCATTTAATTTTTGAAATTCATTTGTAAATTGATTTTTTAGTATTATCTTTGTTGTTATAAATGGTATCTACTCTAGACTTAAGATAAATAATTGTTCTTTGTCATTACTCACATCATGCTTGACAAGGTGCATAACTCTTTGAACTTATAATTTTACTTTAAAAACTTTAAATTCGTTTACTTTAATCATTTTTGTTTTCGAAGGGATTGACTCCAGATTTCAAATTGCTGTCTTTCCATTAAAGTAACATTAATTTTATTGACAAGATCATTATGTTGTGCAAAATATAGAACATTTCACTGCTTTCTTGATACTGATACAGAAATATATTTATATCATAATTGATTTTTCTTTCATAGTTTCGTCTTCCTTACTGCGTCCAGAATTTGATTAGTCCAGATGCTGTCTCCTGTGACAGCTCTTGTTTTCTTGCCTTTTCTGTCATATTCTTTAATATTCAAAATAAAACAGTTACATTCATATTCTTTCATATTTAAAATGGTTAGCTTCAATAAGATATTTATTCATGGAAATTAATGTCATTTCATCCACAACTATTTTCTTACAATAGTGTATGCATTTATTTTTAAACAACTTAAATATTATAAGCGGCTAAATGAGGTCATCCTTAGCACATAGTTCCATTCTAAAATGCGCCAAAATGACACTTTAATGCTGTTCATTAATAAAATGCGCTCAAATGACGCAACTTATCTGGCATCCCCATGCTGTATGGTTATTTAGAATACGAGTCTGATTCTAATTTAGATAGGGAAAATCCGATTCAGCCAGTGAATATGATACCACACCCAGTGAATATGATTTTATAATTTGTTCTGATTACCACTGTTTGAACCAATGAGATTACAGCTATTTTTAAATCATATAATAGTGAACAATATTCTCTGAAAAAACTTTATGGACTTGTCTGAAACTTCATTCAAAGTGCAAGAATATCTTTGCAATAAACAGTTTCACAAACAGTCCCAGAATATATATTTGAACTGAGAATATATTTTAAAAATTGTGCATTACATATGACTTCCACAATTATTTTAATTTTATGCGTGATACACTTGAGACACCCATGATGTAGCAACAATACATAGGAGAGATGATATGTATCAGGGCCAAGTCCCAAAGGCCACCTTCATTAGCAACCCATAACTATACTTTCATTTACATTGTTTATACATCAAAGTCACCCATAGCTCCACCTACATTAACATTTTTCAATATCTCAGAGGCACACATAGCTCCACTTTCATCCACGTTACTTACCGGTAATATTTCAGTGTCACATAAAGCACCAGCTATATTTACACAACTCAGTTTCTTGAATAGATAAATACAAAATCCCTAAAGAAAGCCCAACACGGCAAAATTGAAAATGTTGCAGGCTCGGTTTGATTGAGTCTGTTCATGGACGGTACTGGAAAGTGCAAGTTACCGTCCACGCCCCCTAGCACCGGCTTAAGCAGAATTCAACATTTTAACGTGAAATGGTAAAATTTTGAATTTAGAAACATCCGCAGATGTGTTCATACGGCGGTTATCATGGAACCTTCAATGTGACACTTCCGTGCCATTCCATGAAAAGCGGCGTATGCTCCCCAAGTAATCAAAAGCGTGTGCCCTAAACGAGAAAACAATGGGCGGAACTAAATAAAATAGAATTTTGAAAGGGGATCAGAGGTTATGAAGCCTGCGTATCACAGATAAGACGTCAAAAGACAAATTTAAAAAGCAGGCAACATATCCTAAGGGTGATTCAACATTATTCAAGTAGGAATATTGGAACCACCCAACTAGAAAATGCCGAAAAGTTGAAACTAAAAATACCACAAGCACAACAATAATGTCGTGCTGAACGATCTTCAAGGATCGAAAATATAACATCATTGATTAAATGTACGGGGAGACTTTTTACAGCCGCCACACGGCACAAATAACACGGATGTGATCATAATATAGATAAATACAAAATCCCTAAAGAAAGCCCAACACGGCAAAATTGAAAATGTTGCAGGCTCGGTTTGATTGAGCCTGTTCATGGACGGTACTGGAAAGTGCAAGTTACCGTCCACGCCCCCTAGCACCGGCTTAAGCAGAATTCAACATTTAAACATGAAATGGTAAAATTTTGAATTTAGAAACATCAGCAGATGTGTTCACACGGCGGTTATCATGGAACCCTCAATGCGACACCTCCGTGCCATTCCATGAAAAGCGGCGTACGGTCCCCAAGCAACAAAAAGCGTGCGCCCCAAACGAGAAAACAATGGGCGGAACCAAACTGAATGGAATTTTGAAGGGGGATCGGAGGTTATGAAGCCTGCGTATCACAGATAAGACGTCAAAAGACAAATTTAAAAAGCAGGCAACATATCCTAAGGGTGATTCAACATTATTCAAGT